GCTTACATTCTTCTGGAGGAAACAACATGTATACAGATAAGTAAATACAAATTAATTGGGGGAGGGAAATACTCACAGCTTGGGGAGGGGATTAATAAGGCCTTATTGTGGCAGTTTGAGTAGCTAGGTGGTACAGTGGAGAAAGTGCTATGCATAGAGTCAGGAATTTCTGAGTTCAAATCTAACCTCATACACTCACTAGTTGTGTGACCCTGGGCAAGCCACTTCACCCTAATGTGCCTCAGTTCCTTCTCTGTAAAATGGGGACATACTGGAGAAGGAAATGGCAAACCACTCCAGTATCTTTGCCAAGAAAACATTGTCCATGGGGTCACACAGGGTAGGAAACAACAATAGCTATTGTGGGAGATGATGCTTGATTTTAGACGGGATTCTAAGAGGGGGAGGTGAGGAGGGATGGCATTCCAGGTCAGGGTGCAGAAAACTGAACAGGAACAGCTGGGAGGCCTCTGCGAAAGAAGGTTGATATTTGGGAGGACTGTGTTGGAGAGGACATGGGAAAAAGAACTGACACCCTTCCTCCAGATCAGGAAAGGCTGGTGGGGTGAACAACTACCACTAGTCAGAAGGCAAGCAGTCACTCAGAGTAGAATGTGAATTATCGCTGTGATCGGAGAGCTCTTCCAGCCAACGATGCTCTGGGTAGTTCCATCCCTCATTCCTCTCCTAACTCCACTCTTGACTCTCCAGTCTTCTCTACTGTGTCCTAGGGGTCTTCTCACCCTGAGAGATCCCTCCACCCCTGCAGCCCCTCTCTTGGATTGCTCAGTTCCTCCCAGAACCTCCATTTTGAGGACGCCCTTCCTTCCTCTCCAGACTTCACCAGGCTTCAAAGTGGGCATCTTCTCCCATCCTTCCTACTGCTTTTCAGCTTCCTTTAAAGTGTAGTCTTTCTCCATTAGAATGTAAATGCCTCAAGAGCGGGGTCTGTCTTTGTTTTTGCTTATAGTTGTATTCCCAGAATTTAGCCCAGTACCAGACACATAGTAAGTACTCAATACAGGCTTCTTTTCTAAAAGGTGTCATAAAGACTGTGAAGGAATAGGAACTGAACAGCAGGTCTAACATGTCACAGTAATTTTATCAGTATCAGTATCTATCTCTTGGATGAAGAAACTTTTATCAAAACGAGTTGGCCCCTTCTCCGTAATTTAAATTTTTTTTTTTACTTCCTCCTCTTCACCTGTTTTTGAATGTTCTGCATGTGTATTGAAGTCACCAATAACAGAAAGGAAAGGATAGTAGTAGGCTACCAAAATGACTTTTACAAAGCAGACTACACATAATTAACAATAAGGGATTAACAAATACAAGAGCCTACTGTGTGTATTTTTTTTTTAAGCATTTGACTCAGAAAAAATGAAGATTGTAATTTAAGTTTTAACAGAGTTGCTTAGAGCACTGAGAATTCTTGCCCAGGGTCACATAGCTTGTATGTCCCAGGCAGGGCTTGAATCAGCTCTTACTAACTTTTGTCTCATTCTCTATGTATCACATTATATTATTATATTACAAGTTTTCTACATACTACATTATAAGTACATTATATTCTAGTATATTATAAGTACTACATTATAAGAAACCTACGCCTATGAAAGTGGAAATGAGATAAAATCAGAGCACAACGGCATTTTTAAGTAGATGGCAGAAAGTCTTTAACTTCTTCCATTTCTTTCTCTTCTACTCTTCTAAAACCTCTTCCCAATATCATCATTCCCTTGAAATTGCTCTCTCCAAGACTACCTATGGATTCTCCATTGTCAAATCTAAAGGCCTTTTCTCAGTGCTTATCATTCTGGACCTCTCCTCAGCTTTGGACATGGTAGATCAACCCCTCCAGGATATTCTCTTATCTAAATCTTTGTGCTTTCCTCATTCTCCTACCTCCGTGCACCTACCTACCTGTACCTTCTAAGTCCTCTTTGCTGGACCTTCCTCCAGATCGTGATCACTAACCATTGGTTATCTCCTAAGGTTCCATCCCAGGTCCTCTTCTCCCTCCCTCTACACATTCTCACTTGGTGATCTCATCAGCTCCCATGGTTTCAATTATCATCTTTAAGCAGATGATTCCTAGATCTACATATCCAGCCTTAGTTTCTCTCCATGTCACCTTTTGAATTATCTCCAATCAATACGCCCAAAACAGAACTCATTATGTTTCTCCCTAAACCTTCCCTCTTTCCAATTTCTCCTCTTACCGCTGAAGGCACCACCATTCTCTGCTACTCAGGCTCACAACATTACTATTGTCACTCTTGTACACACTCGACGTATCTAATCCCAAGTCTTATTTCTACTCTCCCAACATCTCTTGTATACGTCCCCTTCTCTCCATGTACAAAGTCACCACTCTGGTGCAGGTTCTCATCACCTCATACTTGGACTATTGCAGTAGCCTTCTGGACTGTCTCCTTGCCTTGTGTCCCCTCATTCCGACCCAAGCTCTATTCAGCTGCCAAAGTATTTTTCTAAAGAGCAGGTCTAACCATGTCACCTGAACTCTTCCCCGCCACCCCATACTCCAATAGTTCCAGTAAGGGCTGCTAGGTGACACAGTGGATAGAGGGCTGGGCCGGGAGTCAGGAAGACCCAAGTTAAAATCTGGTCTTAAGACACTTACTAGCTATGTGACCCTGGGCAAGTCACTTATCCTTGTTTGCCTCAGTTTCCTCATCTGTAAAATGAGTTGGAGAAGGAGATGGCAAACCACTCCAAGATCTTTGCCAAGAAAATTCCAAATAGGGTCACGAAGAGTTGGGCATGAATGAACAGCAAAAAGTTTCCTTACCTCCATGATCAATAATGAAATGCTGTTTGGCATTTAAAGCCCTTCACTGCCTGGATCCCTTTCTACCTTTCCATTCTTCTTACACTCTTCTCCAGATGATCCACCCACAATGATTTACATTATATTCCTCTCACTGCAAGTCCATATTGCTTCCTATATGTATTTTTTTTTTGCATGCCTGGAATGCCTTCCCTCTTTGCATCTCTGACTTCCTTGAAGATTCAATTCTAATTCCGACTTTCTGCAGGAGGCCTTTACTGACCCTTTCCCCACTCCAGATAACTGCCAGGGCCTTCCTTTTGAAATGACCTAACTACTTTGTGTATATGTTGTATCTATCTAGATGTTTCCCCTATTAGAATGTATAGGGAGGGTAGGGAGTCACTGTCTTTACACGCCTAGCACTTAGTAGTACCTGGCACACAATAAGCACTTAATAAATAAATGCTCCAGAGTCTGCCTAGGTGGCTCAGTGGATAGAACATTAGGCCTGGAGTCAGGAAGACTTGAGTTCAAATCTAGCCTCCGACACTTACTAGCTATGAGACCCTGGGCAAATCACTTAACCTTTTGCCTGTTTCCTTAAGTGAAAAATGGGGATAATAGCACCTACCTCACAGGATTGTTGTGAAGATTGATTTAGATGTTTTTAGAGGGTTTAGGTACACTGCTGAGCACATAGTAGGCACTCAGTAAAAGTTACTATTGTTGATGGACTATAGAACATTGAGACCCTAGGGGAAAGTCACATCCATTTCACCTACTTAAAACTTTTCTCAGATTAGAATTTGTGTCCAGAGACTGGGGGATTGTCATGATTCAGGGGGCCACTTTATGACCTGATGCCAAGAAGTCACTGTGGGTGCCACTCAGGAGCAGTGACTCCCATGGGTAGTGGAGATTGGTGGGCAGAACATAAGCTAGCACACTTTCATGCTTCCTCCTGTTCTCATGGTTTTTTGGTATGAGGATGAAATGGGATAACTAAGAGAGCAGCACCCAGTAGGGCAAGGAGTGGTATGTGTATCCTAATGGGGGCAGTATAATCAGCACTATCTTCCCCACCTCCTCTCCCTGCCCCCAATTCAGAAGCCAATCATGCAATAGCCTGGATGGCATTCTGTTCTGGACACACCTGGATCAGGGTATGGCAATGTTCCTTTAATTTTCCTGGGCTGAGTAGTTCTGGACATCAATGTTCAACAAATTAAAAAGGTCTCTTTCCTACCTCTCCACTCCCTTACCCACACCCTGCCTGGTCTGTGTTATTGCCTCTAAAGTAGCAGTTTCAAGCTTTTTGATCTTAGGACCCCTTTATTCTCTTAAAAATTGAGGACCCTCCCCCAAAAGGTTTGTTTCTATGGGTTATATTTATCACTAGTTACCATATTACAAATGAAAATGTCACAGGTGTTATGAAAATAGTTTTGACCATGTGGATCTCCAGAAAGGGTGTGAGGGACCCTAAGGGGTCTAAAATCCTAACTTCCCTTTTTGAGGTGAACTCTACCAGCCAGATGGCTTGCTTGGGGCCAAGGTATGGTTCTCACTTCTAGAGTGGCCTGGGGACAGAACCAACTAAGTCTGAGAATGGAGGCAGGAAAAGGTGATCTCCCTACCCAACCCTATGTGAAAAGAATTCAAAAGTTCACTGGGTGTGTCAGGTCAAGATCTCCCTTTCCAGAGGCTGCATTTTCCCTTCCCTCACCTTTTCCACTGCCAAGGTCTCCCCACTCCCATCCAGGCCTCCTTCCTTCCCCCTTCCCATCTTCATTCTCCTTTCTCCTTCCAACCTGTCCCCCTCTCTCAATCAAGTTTATCACCATCTCTTCCCCGCCTCCCCCCACCCCCCCATAAATCTAGAACATCTTACCAGGTGGGGAAGGGATGCTGAAATAAATTGAGTCAGCAAAGGGCACTGTACTTTGCCCCTAGGTCATCTTAACTTACTTGAGCAGCAGGGAATTCCCTGTCCTCCAGCTGCTGGTCACACACCCTCCCACCCCCACCCTAATATCCAATGGCAATAAGAAATAGTAATTAACTGTCATGAACCCTGCTGATTACCTTCTGGTCCCTGACCTATGTCCCTTCACCCCCAACTTCATTCTCAGAGCCCCAGCCCCGTCCCCCCTCTCTACAACCCAGGGTCAAAAGTCTCTTAAATTCATTTATAATATGCAATTTACTTTACATTAAAGAGTTACTCTGTCCACAGAAAACCCACAGCTGGGTGCAAGGCTTTAACCAAAGGAATGGCTCTCTAATGGGGGAACTTCAGGCATTGTAGGGCAGCAGGCTAGGCATATCTTGTTCATGCCAGAGAATGACTTTGCTTGACTTATTTAAAGCCACCACCCAACCTCCAAGCACACAAAAGCCAAGAGATTCTGGACAGGATCTCAGCCCACTCCATCTGACGTTGGGGAAGGCTATCTCTCAAGTCCAAGGTCTCTTTCCACCTGCAGCAATCTTCATTTCAGCATTCTAGGACAGTATGACAGGTGACCAATCATCCAGCCTCTTCGTAAACATACTGAGTGTCAAAGAAGTCCTCTTCCATTGTTAGAGAGCTGCCTTTCTTAACATGGGTTGAAATTTGTCTCTCTCTCTCCCTCCATCCTTAAAGCTCTAAGAAAAGGAGAGGATTCCCAGGCCAGGTAATGCCCAGGGCTCCTAGGAGCAAGGACACCCTTGAACAGGCAGAGGCAAGGAGAGAAATAAGTTAAGTCTCAAGCTTGTAGGGCATCCCAACATGCCTCAGAAGGCTGGATTGATGATTCCCCGTTCGGTGCTTTGGGTTGTCACAACAGACGTGGGGGTATAGGGTGGTGGTGGCTCCCTGGGAGCTGGTGGGCACAGGACTGGCTTCTGAATGACCTGTGGGGAGGAGAGCACAGTGTTCTCTGTCCAGTCAAGGCCTCAGTTCCATCTTTTTGCTGACTCCCGGAGGACAAACCCCAGGTGGTACAACTTGACTACGCCCCTAACTCTCTCTGAAAGGGCAAGGAGGATGGTACCTGAGGCCCGAGTAATATGACAGGATTTAGGGACCTTATACCTTTAAGGCTAAGATGACCTATCTACAGCCAAACCCTTCATTTCACAGATAAGGAAAACTGAATTTCCTGGAGGTTAAGCCCTAAGGTACAAGAACAGGGTTCAAACTAGGGTCTTTCAGCATCTAATTCACTGGGCTTTCCCAATACCAATAAGTGTGTTTGTTGGGTATGGGAGACAATGGCCTGGGAGAGACATGACTGATGGGTAGAGACAAGGAGAACCTAACCTTTTCTGATCCCTGTAGTCCTTGGCTTTCCACTAAATCTGCCCAGACCCCCTATTCAATTGGAAAGGAAATAAATTCCAGTGTTTACCATGCATACACATAAGACATTTTGTCACTGCTGATTGAAAATCAATTTGGCACTTGCAGTATATTTTCAGTAGGATAATATAGTTATTTGCCAAATATTCACCCCTTGTGACAAGTTTTGTGTGTACATATCCCAGGCTGGGAAACTCCTGGTATAGAGAGGCAGAGCATAAGATCATAGACTGAGGTGGGAGGGATTTCAGAATAATAGTTACTAGCTAGCACTTACATGGCACTTTAAAGGTTTACAAAGAACTTCTTAATTTGACTCTCACAACAACCCTGGAAGGTAGATGCTATCATTATCCCCATTTTACAGATGAGAAAACAGAAAAACAGAGGTAAAGTGACTTGCACAGAGTCACATAGTAGTTAGTGAGTATCCACAGCTGGATTTGAACTCGGGTCTTTCAGAATCTAAGTCCAATGCACTATCTACTGCACCACGTTTTGTTGTTGTTGTTCAGGCACATACAACTCCTTGTGACCCCATTTGGGGTTTTCTTGGCGAAGATACTGGAGTGGTTTGCCATTTCCTTATCCAGCTCATTTTACTGATGAGGAAACTAAAGCAAATGGGGTTAAGTGACTTGCCCAGAGTCACACAGCTAGTAAGTGTCTGAGGCTAGATTTGAGTTCTGGTCTTCCTGATTCCAGGGCTAGCATTCTACCTACTGTACCACTTAACTGTCCCTAGAAACCATTTAGACTATTTTTCTAACCTTATAGAGAAAGAAAACAAGGTCTAGTCAAGAGAAGGGCCTCACTGAAGGTTACAGACTTTGCTGCATCTTATAGCCTCTCCTAGATGCCCTCTCTTGTGACTTACCCCAAGTATGGACAGATATCCAGGACAGAGCTGGAGTCAAAGGAGACTCACCTCACTGTAGGGTGGTGGGGGTCCAAATGGGGCAGGTGCTAGAGTCTCAGGGGACACAGGAGGGTTGCTGAAGGACACTGACATTGGCACCTCCTGCTGGGTTGAGGGCTCCGACCCTGAGACCCAGCAAGCTCGGCACAAACGCTTGGACAAGCCACAGATACAGAGAAGAGGGATGATGACCAGGAAGCTGATGACAAATGTCCTGGGGAGGCAGGAAAATCCACACCATGATCCTCCTTTAACACAGAGCGAGGGCAGGCAGCCTCCTCCCAAATCCCTTCCTCCATTCCCTCCCCTTCTCTACACCCCCTGGGGCTATCTCCCAAGCATCACCAGCTGGCCACATGTATCTATCTATTTATCCTCAGTGGCCAGAGACAAGATACCTTTGGGCATGACCACAAAATGCTTGCCATGTCCCAAGCATCACCATATCTATCTATCTATCTATCTATCTATCTATCTATCTATCTATCTATCTATC